CCAGGCCTCAACGGTTACGAGTTGAACAGCGAGCCGGATCGTAAAACCTCCAGCATCGCTGCCCTGAGGATGAAAGCGAAGGAGCACAGCGCCGCGATTTCCTGGGCGACATGACAGGGTTGCAGCCTAGCGCCCGTGAGATACGGAGCGAGTACGTGGGGACAGCCGAATAAATCCATCCGCTTGGACTCCAGACAGCAGTTGCCTCCTCGGGGATCGGAATGCAGCACTTTTAGCTACCCTAGGCATATAAAGTACATATGGTAATGTAAGTGGAGTGTTTCCAGCACGAAGGCGGCAGCCCCCAGTTTCCTGGGATCAGGCGGGGAGAGAGAGGCTGCGGAGCAGCACCTCTTCCAGTGAGGTATCCGGGTTGGGACGCGTCCCCTCTCACCACCACCTCCCCAATAACCTGGGCATTTTTTTTTTCTCCCTGGTCTTTAAACCTGCCTTTCGAAAGAGCAAAAGCCCGTTGGCATGCCAGCGGCTTCTCCCATCCTGCCACACCCCCCCATACACACCCCCAACACCTTCCCCTCCTAATTTGTCGACAGTGTCGCTCCGATCTGTTCTGCCCCGGGCAGAGGACTGGATGGGGACTCTGGCACCAGCAAAGAGACACATCTCAGGCTGCTCCCAACTTTTTAGCGGGAGCCACAACTTCCCACAGCCGAGCGGGAAACAGGGTTAGGAAGATACCCAAGGCCAGAAAGAAGGCAACGTTAGCCCATCTCCTACCTTGCTGCTTCTCCATCTCGCAGTCTGAGATGAAGCAGAGGGCCGTAGAGGCCTGTAAAGGCGATGCCTCTCTTCCCACCACGTGCTACCACGCTGAGAGTCTTTTGCCAGCCCTCCGGTCGCCCAGCCAGAGATGCAACCCGGCAGACGATAGCTTCCCAGCACGGCTCGTGGCCCCGGGGAGGGCCTGGGGTTCGCTTTGCCATGGTGGTGGTCAACGTTGAGGCTCACGTGCACGGTGGGGCAGCGAAATATTTCCTCTGGCTTTCACCTGGTTGGGAATTACCATCCTCAATTTGGAGACTATGCTATGGGAGGGGAGTAGTGATGCTGTGTAAATCCACAGGTCCCCAAAGAGATGGCTCTGGGAAACAGCTCAAGTCCTCGCACACAGCCACGGTTGCGTGAGGCCATCGAATTCCTCACGCACCTCGTCCTGAGGTCAGATACGTGCAATGACAGCCCCTCCCTGCAGCCCTTCATCCCAAAGCCCTGCCGTACCCAGTCGCTGAGGGCATCTCTGCGCTGGGGACGGCACAGGGAGCAGGTTGGGAAGGGACCCAAGGGTGGACGAGGTGATGCTGCCCCATCTCCGGCCGCTTCAGACCCTCTTCACCTTGCCGAGGAAGCAGGAGACCCCCAAAATTCAGCTGGTTTCTTGGAGCCAACGCGCCTCCCCACTTCTCCCTCCCAGTGCTCTTCCCTGCACAGTGCTGTTAAGTAAGATCTCCTTTGCAAGGCTAAACCTTTTACAAGCTTTTCAATGATCCCGTAGTGCTAGGAATAATTTGGGAACATCCTTCTACCCCACTGAATTAATTATCACCAAGGAGAAGCTGAAGGTCAGCTGAGCACCATCACCCACATGGCGTCGCTATGCAGGTTGAGCTTGAGCTGGGGCAGCCGTCTCCAAGCTTTGCAAGGGAACTACAAGGTTTTACCCCCAGAAAAATTTGCATTTCACCCTGCCCTCCCTCCTCATGCTCAGTGTTAGGAGATCTTGTAGTTCAAGGTCCAGGAATATTTAGTGGTCTTGGAAAAGGCTCCAAATAAGCTACAACCAAACGTCAGGTTTCATGTTGACAAGACAGACGAGTATTTCTATAGTGCCGTACGCTACCTAAATGATAAACCATTGCTAGATCAAATATAATCTATATTTATGGGAATAAGTAAAGACCAGTAGTACTGTCTCTTTTCTCTTCTGGGAAACGCAAAGAGACGCCTGCCTTGGTACTCACAGGGAACCACGACGCATTTAACCGCACTGTGTGTCTGACCGGGGCCTCTCCCATCACAACCGGCCGGGACTTACGTCCCAGCCTAAACACTTTTAAACATTTGGTTTAGGTGCTAAAAGCGATGTTGAACCAGACAGGATGACGCTGACCCATTGGAGGTGTACCTCACCCCACCGGGCACCCCAGAAGCCCCTGAGGGTCCCGGGTCACCCAGGGAGCGATGGCATGAGGTGCTCTCTCCAGCAGATATCGTGTAGGCAGCCGAGAGTGGGTGTCGAGAGTATTTTTCCCAGCTACACCGGGGAACGGGATGCTTTCCAAGCTCAGCAGGCAATCCCAGGAAGGCTCGCTGCCCAAACAACCCCGTAACGTTACCGACAAGGCAAATGAGCAAGAGGCAGAGC